GTCATGTTTCCCTCGTCATCGATGATGGCCAGCTTGAGGCAGCACAAACGTGGCGGACGAATCTCGTATTTAATGCCAATCACTCGAACTAATTCATGATCACGCAGTGTTCGAAAGTTCCAAGGCTCGGAGCTGTGCGATAGCTTGTAGACCTTTTTGAGACGAACTGCTTCCAGATAACGCTGATGACCTTGGCGGAAATAGACAATCTCATCGCCCATTTGAGGATAGTACGGTGCCTTGCGGGGTATCACTTCCGACAGCCACTCGGCAGGACGGTAAAGCTCTGGAATTTCGCCATTTGGCGCCGTTGGTGGTATTAGCACTCGCTTGCGGCCACGCTTTTTGCTGGAAGCAGCTGACGGGCCTGCCGTTGCGTCATCACTACTGTCATCAGACATGGTTCGACGGCGAGAGAGTGGTTTGCGCTTGGAACGCTTAGGTGGCTCGAGATTTGGTCCGGGCGTATCGGCAACCCAGTCTGAATAATCGGAGCTATCCGTATCAGATTCATCACTGCTATCCTCTAGATTCTCTTCCACATTCGAGTAACTAGTGTCCCCGGAACTGTTGCTGCTATCGTCATCTTCCTCTTCCTCATGTGGGGCGGCCACAGCTGCATCTTCATAGTGGTCCTCCTCCTGGTCACGTACAGCACGAGTCCGGTATGCAGGCTGTTGGCCTCCTTGCTGTTGACCAGCTTGAGCTCCACGCCTACGTCCAGGCCTTATGCCCCCATTAGATCGTGTATTCCGTGGCCTGCCAACTCCAGCCTGCAGTGCAGATGCTGCACTGGCCGTGTTTATCATGATAGGGCGACGTCGCATCTCACGCTTATATTCTTGCATTTCRAACTGACCTGCAGAATATATGGTCTGCTTGAGGTTCTGTAGCTGCGCATATTTCATGGGACGAACGTAAGTGCGACGCACGAATTTGAATGGCATTGCCTGTTGAGCAGGTAGCACATTAAGCAGTGGTTCAGCTTGCGCCTGTTCACCCGCAGCAGGCGCCGGTGCTGCTGGCAATGCCGCAGCCCAACCCTGACGAGGAGTGCCTTCGGTTATCGAACGTCGTCCGCCTAACACGTTTCCACGAGGCGTGGCATTACGCGAAGAATTCGAGTCGGGCAATTGATCCTGTCCTT